GGGGGGTGAGTATTTGTGTGCGTGAGTGTGTCCGTGTGCGTACTTATGTGGGTGACAAGTATTTGTATGAGTAATTGTGTAGGAGTTTGTGCGTGTGAGAGAATTTGTGTGTATAAGCAAGTGAGAGAATGTGTGTGTATGTGCGTGTGAGAAAATTTGTGTGTATGTACGAGTGAGAGAATTTGTGTGTATGTACGTGTGGGTGTGTGTTTACTTGTGGGGGCCAGATCTACAGGTATGTATTTGTACTAGTAAGAGTGAGAGAGCTTGTGTGTATGCGTTGGTGTGTGCGTGTGTACGCGTGCGTGCGTGCGTGCGTGCGTGCGTGTGTGTGTGTATGTGTGTGTGTATGTGTGTGTGTGCGCGCGTGCGCGTGCGCGTGCGCGAGTTTGTTTGTTTTTGTGCGTTTGTATGTTTAATTGCGTGTGTTTATGTGTGTGCATGTGCGTGTGCATGTGTGTGTGTATGTGTGTGCACGTGTGTGTCTGTGTGAGTGTGCATGTATGTGTGTGTGTGTGTGTGTGTGTATGTGTGCGTGTGTGTGTGTGTGTATGTGTGTGTGTGTGTGTGTGTGTGTGTGTGTGTGTGTGGTGAGCGTTCTCACTGTAAAAAAGGAAGGTGATAGGAGGCACCTACTTTTCAAAGTACATGTATTACAACTCGCACAATTAACAATCACTATAATATTTTCAGGAACACTTCGAAGCAATTACATTAAAAAATGGCATAAGATTTAGATAGTTTTATGTGTAGGAATGTACTAAAAATTGTCAAGAGTGCAGTTTGACGATGTCTGTAAATAAACGTGTAATAAAAACAGTTTCTACGAGAACATTTTTTCGCCTGATAGTGTAATAATATCATAACTTTGCTTTATCCTTTTTAAAGGTCAACAAACTATCAAAAATATGTTTAAAGAAAGCGATTATTATCCTGATTTTTTTCCCTCTAGCAAATCCGGCTTTTGACGTAATAAACCACAGTACCTTACGTGAGACTGATAGCTTAGTACAATTATCAGAACAAAAAGGGGATCAGACAATCTACCTCGCCAATTACCTCATTACAAAAACACCTTTTCACAATATGATTTTGTCTCAACAATTAGGCCTAGATTGTATTATGCATTCCCCTTCTTTCAGTATCAGTTTCGAAGTGTACGTATGATTTTTAAAAAGAATGAAACAGGTTTTTTTCTTTCACTCTCCTGGACAACGGTTCTTTTAAGGCTTGGGGCATTTTATCATTTGGCTGCCGATTTACATATATATATAAACATATACATTTATACATATACACGTACATATAATAATATACATATACTTTTACATATAAAGAACGCAGAATACGTTTACAGTACATCTACTTGGTAGATAAATAGATCGATCGATAGATAAAAAGATAGATAGATAGAGAGATAGATAGATAGATAGATAGATAGAGAGATAGAGAGAGATAGAGAGAGAGAGAGAGAGAGATAGAGAGAGGGATAGAGAGAGATAGAGAGATACTCTTGTTTATATTCTCAGATGCAGAATTCGCCCAATGCCTAAACAGTGTTCAAATTCAATTGGTACCTGGCACAGATGACAGACAGATAAACACACAGTTGTGACTGGAGACCGCTCGTTGTTTGGCTTGACGGAGATGTCTTTTTATGTGTGACTTCGTGTCTTTTTTGAGCTTGTGATATTTTTTCCGCTGTTGAAAATATTTTGTAAATAAAAGTGTAAAAACTCCTTTATGAACGGAGAGTTCCTTCTGTTTTGTTTGAAATTTTTTTTGGGATGTGTGAAAGCATAATCGTAACACATCGTCACACTCATTGAGTGTGTATTTGCATGTCTGTTTGTGTGTGCACATACACACACACACACACACAAACACACAAACACACACATACACATACACGCGCGCGCGCTCACACACTCACACACGCACACACGCACACACGTACACACACACACACAACACGTACACGCTCGCGTGCCAACACTTGAACACACACACAAACAAACAAACACACACGTACACACACACTCACACACACACACACACACACACACACACACACACACACACACTGACACACGTACACGAGCGCGTGCACTCACTTAAACACCCACACACCCACACACACAATTACTGAAAACATAACACAGCGCAAACAAAATGGAAGCCCAGTTTGGAGGTGATGGGCCGAAGGCCACAGCTTTCTGTATTAACCCTTTCATTGCTGAGACCTGTCTATTTACGTTGATAAAGACAAGGTAAAACTAAATAATAATACTGAGCGAAAATGGCACTCGGTGGGTGATCGTGGCAAACATGAGGAGAATTAACTCGCTTGTGTCTTGCTTCCCGTTCCAGTAAACTTATAAAATTTCATATGTCTACAAATTGTTGTATATCTATACTGGGGAGATTTCAACAAAGCCAAAATCACAATATCACTCCCTTTATGTAGGGAAAAGCAACTGTTCAAACTACACTGCGTCTTCTAAAGTCAGTAGGAAAAAAAAATAGAGAATCAATTTTAGAGAACATAAGCGAGAAAATACGGCAATGGAGACTTTGATCTCATTCTCATACATTTTATCAATAAATGGTGGCGTTTGTGGTGTAGCGGTTGGGTGCTTTGCTGTCGCATTCAGGAGACTCGAGTTCGAATCCCACGTTCGAATCCCGAATTCAATTTCTGAGTGTGTGTGTGTGTGTGTGTGTGTGTGTGTGTGTGTGT